CCTGTCGATTTGTACACTTTTTGTTATTATTGTTCCTCTGGTGTTGACTTTTGACTAATTATTTTCTCTAATGTGATGTTGAATAGAATACAGGATAGGGTATCTCCCTGTTGTAGGCTCGATCTCACATGAATTGTATCTGTTAATTTGTTTTGAATTCGAATTTTACTTTGTACTTGAAGTGTTTTTTTTTACTATATCAATGAGTTGAGTTGGAATATTAAACTCTTTCAGTGCATGGACCAGAAACTCTCGATGGATGCTATCATATTCACCCTCAAAGTCAATGAAAGGATGATGTTTGTCTATATTAAATTCACATATACCTATACACATATATAAACATATAGATCGTCAAAGTAGTAAATAATTATAATTAATATAAGAAGTATAATAATATAATGTGTAAAATATTACCTGAAATTTAATTTATAAAATATATAAAATTAAAAAAAAGTAAGTTCTTACGGTGAATTTGTTGTTGTTGTTGTTTGTTTGTGTTTAAATGACTGCGGACACTAAATCCATTCGCCAATCTTACAATTTGAGGTGTAGTGTGTGTGTGTGTGTGTGTGTAGAGTAATTGTCTTGATACTTAGCAAAGTCGACTTCATTGTCTTTGCTAAGAGACGCTAATTGTATCCGAACGTCTGCGGTCCCTCCGGTGTGTACCGATCACACAAGGATAGAAATTATTTTCATTTATTAATTTTTTTAATAAACGAAAATTTCCACCCAGGTGGGATTCGAACTCACGACCTTTAGATTTAAAGGCAGGCGCTCTTACCACTGAGCCACAGAGGGGGTTAAAAAAATAAAAATAAACAAATAAACTCAATTTTTTCGAGTTTTCCCAAATTTCCCGGCCATTGAATACTATGTAGTTATTCATATTTCGACGAGCTACCCCAGATTTAAAAAAAGGGGCTTCTAGCTGGAATGGAAACCCAGATAATGTAAATTTCTCCTACGTGTTTCAATTTGAGTTATCCCCTCCACTTTCCTATGTCGATCTTTCGAAAGTACCTTCGTTTCGAAGGGTTGTAAGTTCGAAAAAATTTGATGAAATTTATAGCTATAAGTTTCAATATAAAGTTTAGATTTTCATTCAAAATTTGTGTAAATTTTACTTCTTAATGTTTATAAAACAATTTTCTTCTTTAAGTTCCATCTTCTATCGAAGGTTGGAAATCATCATGGCTATGCGGACTTTGTTGACTGCCGCTCTAAAAAGTTCTGCACTACTGCATTCAAACCATTCCCTCAAGTTCTTAAGCCAGGATATTATTCGTCTTCCCACATTTCGCTTTCCTCGGATTTTGCCCTGCATAATAAGTTGTAATAATGCGTATTTTTGCCCTCTCATCACATGTCCCAAGTACTCAAGTTTTCGTCTTTTTATAGTTAATATTATTTCCGCCTCATTTCCTATCCTTCTAGTTACTTCCATGTTCGACATTCTTTGAGTCCATGATATTCGTAGGATTCTTCTGTAACACCAAAATTCAAAGGCGGCCAACTTATTCAGATGAACTTGTTTTAGTGTCCAAGCTTCCAGACCATAAAGAAGAGTAGAGAACACGTAACATCGAAGCATTCTCAGGCGTAGTTCTAACCTTATATCCCGACAACAAAGAAACTTTTTAAGTTTAATAAATGATGTACGTGCTATTTCAATACGTGTCTTAATTTCTTTGGTTTGGTCTACATCTGATGTTATCCATGTTCCTAAGTATTTATAGTTATTAACACTCTTAATTGCAGTATCTTCAATAGTCAATTGGATATTTGCATGTGCAGATTTAGTCATGATCATGCATTTAGTTTTCTTTAAATTTATCTTCAGTCCGTACTCATGACAGCGTTCATTAAGGCGTTGCATTACGTTCTGTAAATCATTGTTGTTATCCGTAATTATTACTGTATCGTCTGCAAAACGTAAGTTATTCAAAACTTCTCCATTGATAGATATACCTTCTATTGAGTCTGAGAACGCTTCTTGAAATACCGCTTCACTGTAGACATTGAAAAGTAGTGGGACAGCACGCAACCCTGGCGGACTTCTCTCTTTATTTTGATATTTTCGGTGTACTGGCTGTCAACTCTTACCTTGGCAAATTGATTCCAATATAAATTAGATATAATTTTCAGATCACGACTGTCAATATTTTTGCTTTTTAATATATCTACAAGCTTTTTATGTTGAACTTTATCAAATGCCTTTTCAAAGTCTACAAAACATAAGTACATATCCTGATTCATGTCCATGCATCTCTGAGCCAGCACATTCAAGCCGAACAAAGTATCTCTTGTACTCATACCATTTCTAAAGCCAAATTGTGTGTCACTAATCTCATATTCAAGAGTTTTAACAATTCTGCTGTGAATTATTATAAAACAATGGAGATGTGATTTTTTTAAAAATGGTGCCCAACTTCGTTCCTTTTGGTCATAGAAGGTTTTTTTTAATGTGAGTTTTTTTATCAGCTCTCCAATGGTTGTACGTACAAGTCTAAAGCTTGATAATAGAAATATAGAAATTGAAATACAGAAGTTATTACAATTGTTTGTAAATAAAAACATACCCCTTTTTCAAACGTTTATTTTGTAAATAATTTCGATGAAAACGCAATATGCATTTAACTTCTGAGATAGTTTAGGTCTTAAAGAATTCTATGAAATTTGCTAAATATGTCAAGCATCATTAAGAGAGCAAGTTCAATAATTTAAATATTTAGCCTGAGGGATAAATAAATTAAATAACTTTTAAACTATTTGACCGATCTGGAGAAATTTCACACAAATTCAAAAGATGGTAATTCATCGATGTTCAAATTTATTAATAACATTTTATTTTGTTAATAAAAAAATTAATAAAATTTATAAATTAGTTCAAAAAACTACTTTTTTGCAAATATTTCCATAAAATATTTATCAATTTTAATTTAAAAAAAGGAAAAATCAAGATATTCTTGATATAAAAAAATCATATAAATATTGTTTATGTACAATAGGGAAAAAACTTATAGAAAAAATCAAATTTTGACCATAAATGATTGTTTAAAAAAAAACGCAAGGTAAAAATACGAATACTTTTTCATCTATTCGTCATCTAGTAACCCCCACCTATGTCTTAAAAGCTTCAGATACCTGCGAAAATTTTGCCGTGAAATCGACGTTTTTTGCATAACCAGTCTGGGCTAAATTTCCTAGTAGCCACCGTCTTTTATTATATTGCTATCTGCGTTTGATGTATATTATTATGGATGGATAAACGGCTTCATTTCATGGTTGTAGGTTCTATGAGTAGAGAAGGCACATAATATAAAGAATAATTTGTTAATTATCTGATACACGTGCATTGAAAAAGCGGACAATCCTTCTCAATTATTTTACCGCTTTTTGCTTTTACAAATTAGTGATATTTTTATTTACAAAGTAATCACCCTATTTTGTTCGTTTTTAAGACATTTTATTGCACTTCATGTAAATTGCTTTATGGGATATCTTTACTTGGGAAGAGACCTATTCTAAGCACGGCTTGCTGCTTGACTGTATCAATATAGATGCTATTTTTGCTCGTGCACTCCCAATCAAATCTGTTTAAATAATTATTTGGTATACTCTTCCCAGGTCTGGATGGTAAATGAAATCATGTTGATACAAATTACGAGCATTAAAGTCAAGAAAATATGTTTGTCTCTATTGTTATTTCTTTTAACTAACATATTAATGTCTTCTGGTAAGAATCAATCAATGATCAGTCACTGAGTCGTGAGTCGATTTATTTAGATTTCAAACTGTTACGTCTGGAATATTTCTCTAATCTACACATTTCGAAATTGTTGTAGCCAGCCCACTGAGTCATCAAGCCTTTTGTGGTTTGCGTTTCTTCACTATTTTTTTATAGTATGTCGACTGTGACAATACATTTTGTTTTGCTATGACTCTTGTTTCCATCGGCCTTTGACAGTTATACAGCAATAGGCTAATAGTGCCTTTACCTATTTTCAGAATTTTGAACTCTGCAATTTTTCTGGAATATCGCAAAATGGTTCATCATCATCATTCTGGCTTTACAACCCTGCGTAGGTTCTAGCCTCTTCAAGATTTTCTCTCCAGTCGTCTCTATCCATCGCCTTTCTCCGCCAAGCACAAATTCCCATATTTCTCATGTCTTCATCAATATGTGTCAAGGAACCTTGTTCTGGGTGTTCTAAGAACCTTCGCAAATGGTTCTGATTTGTTAAAAAGATTATTAACTCAGAGTTTATTAGGATTATCAACCACCTCGTCACCAGCAATTCGGTTGCGCCCTGGCACTCAGATTTAAGTTACTTTGTTGTGATTCACTAGTTGATAAAGAAACTTTTTGTAATTATAAACTGATACTTGAAGTAGTCTTCAGTGCAGCTTGCTGTCTTGAGGCAATAAAGATTTCATCCGAATTGACCCACCCTTTCCTGTGTGCCTTGACCTACAAATATTGTTTTGCAGACATATTGTATGTGGACATCTTATGGATTGCATTGTTCTAATCCTTAAAATCTCCAATTATCCAGTTATATCGCCGGATTTTAGATACTGAATGCGCATTAAACTACTTAAAGACACTATTGGTATCGTGCTTACGTGTATATGTACATGTATATGTAATCCCTTCTGTACCATTCGCAATCGAAAGTTGAATTATTAATTCCCTCCTATTAGTGAATGAAACAAGTTCCTTTTTGGGGATTTATTCAAAGTCTTTCCTTCGACCACCAGCTAGTTATTAGGTTTAAGGCACCTTACACTCGATCAGAAATAATACTGGCACGCTTACCTTTACTAAATGTAGAGTTTAAAAATACCAACATTTTGTTTTTTATACTCTTAAGAACAAACAATTTTCTCTTTCAAAATACAAGTAATTTGTATCTATTTATATCTAAACCATACTGTATTTACTACATGCATTTCAGTACTCACGTATATATTATGGATTTTTCCTCTTTCAGGACACATCGACACTTCCACCAATCAAAGGCAGTGTGCCTACGCCCGACGCACTGTCTTCGGTCTTCGACAAAATCGACAACATCGAATTCATAGATCAAGTAACCCCATCCGATATTAACAATCTGAATTACAAGGGTTACCACACTATCGATACCAATCAGGAAAACATCGTAAAAACGTCGCCTGGTGACGATGAGGTCTTCAAGACACTACCTGGCAAGCAACAAAAATCAAAGGTAATTATCTTTTTTCTCTTATTTTATAAGTTTAGAAACAACTTTCGCAAAAATAAATTTCAAATATCATACATTACTTGTATGACAGAAAATTTTAATACATATTTTAAAAACTATTTTACAATTGCCTTTTAAGGGTTAAAACAAAATACAAATTAATTATACAATACCATTAATAAATGCCCTTTCTTTATGGAGGTAGGCCCAATCATAATGGCTATTTTTGTGTGAAAAGTAATGTGTTTGGCAAGTTTTCAACCACGATCTTAGTCTTGACCTTCGCGTTAGAATGACATATTGCTATATCCTTCCAATGCTGAAGCAGACAACATAATTGGTCAATATAATAAAGAGACGCAAACTGAAATAATTCGGTCACATGAGACTACCTGAAAAATATGAATTTTTGCATTTGATCATTCTGGGAAACGTGGTCCTAGTACTAGAGAAACATCATTATTTAGAGCTCTTAACCAGTATAACTATGTCATCGACGTAGGATTGCGCATATATACCTTGTTCGAACGGTTCGCTGAAGAGGGCCGTCTACTACCAGGCACCACGGCAGGGGGAACAAAACTCCTATCTGCGTCTGAGAAAGCAGGTCCTGGATCCACCTGACCAAGCTGCAGTCAACCCTATGCCTTTCCGCAGCATTACACGTGGAAGTAGCGCGACTAAAAACGCCTTCAATATCCATAAAGATATCCAGGCTGTACTGCTTCTGATCTAGCACCCGCTCCACCCTTTAGACAAGGTGATGCAGGACCGTCTCACAAGACTTTCCAGCCTGGTAGGCGTACACGCAAAGGGCTGCCCCTAAGTACTCTATCACATATGAACCGGTTTACCAGTCTCAGGCTGTCCCTAAGTGCTCCATCACGTATGAACCGGTTTACCAGTCTCGGGCTGCCCCTAGGTGCTCAATCACGTATGAACAGGTCCACCAGTCTCTCTCTCTAGAGCCTTTAGAAGGAAGGATGAGAGACTGATTGGTCGGGACGATTTAGCATGGATAAAATCAGTTTTACACGGTTTAGGAATAAATACGACCATAATCTTTCTCCAGGGTAAAGGAATATACCCTCTCGCTAGACAGGCCTTAAATATCCTTACCAGTGTAGGGGTAATAAGGTCCAGACCCTGCTGAAACAGAGCCGGCATAATGCCGTCCACGCTCGGTGACTTAAAGGGGGCGAAACCCCTAATAGCCCATCATACCTTCGTATACGATACTACCTACTTCGTCATCAGAAAATTATCGGGAACCTAATCGTAGCTAAGGCAGTATTATCATCCTTGCTCTTTGGGAAGTGAGCGTCCAAGAGAGTCCTTAGAGCCTCCTCGTCAGAGAAAGATAGACTTCCACTGGGAAGATGCACCCGATCCACTCCCGGAGTCGGATCCCGGAGGGCATGATGAAGCTTAGCTACAGCGGACATGTGTTCCACGCTGCCATAGTTCTCCAAGAACTCTGTTACCTCTAAATCAAACACTTGTATTCCCTCTGAGCCTCCTTAAAGGAGTTCCAGTGGGCAGGCCGACCAGTCCTTTTGGCTTACAGGACGGTACTCCTCCGCATTATACTTGTTTGTCAATATTTAGACCCACGTTTTCCGCGGCATTAGATTGGGATAAGAGGCAGCATCGAATGGCTTCATCGGTCACCAGATTTGTCTCTCCTGGATTTATTTTTGTGGGACACCTAAAAAGTACAATATATATAACACCACCCGCACATTTAAAAGATTTACGTCAACGAAGGCCGACAAAGCACTCCGCTAATGTCTCGGAATGTGAGAGATCGTTTCGAACAAAACCCTTATCGTTATGTAAATGCATAAGATCATGAGTTTCAACATTTAATCAACTAAGAAATAAGTAAGCAGCTAAAAATAATTTAAAAGATATATATTTTTAAATGGAATTAAGTATTGGAGTAAATTTGAAAATTTAAAGGCCATTGACTCTCATTGCCATTAAAAATGTGATTTTTTGAAAAATGTGATTGGGTGATTCTTACCCTGTATAATACGTTATATACGAGGTTATAGAGGTGTTTACACCTTCATGTATCTGTGATATTTGTCACCAAAGACAACAACGTGGATTGCCATTGCTCATAAAGAGCTGTAACTCCAGTGGTCGTAATCCCGTAGTAATAAGCTTTTGTTACTTTTTACTAGTATTTATGTTTTTCTTTGTTTATTATAAACTTCCGCAAATTATTATCCCAAGTTTATTAATCTTCATATTTGAATCTTTTATCATTAATACGAATTATTTAATATAGTTTTTGGTATTATCAAACAAGTGTAGAGTCAAAGCCATGTACGAAGACCGCTTTGCCATTTAATTCTGATAACTTTATTACCAGTGGACCAAGTAAGCGAAGATATCTATTACAACATCTTTATGTATAAAATTTTACTGCTTTATTATGTCAATTAGCGCTGCTCAACAAGTTTTCGGAATTGTACGGAATATAATATTATCTAAAGTGAATTTACAAGCGGGAAGATTGAATATTTCGCGAAATGAACACCGGATCGAAAAACAGAAAAACAAGTTTTCAATATTTCTCAAAAATCTACCGAATGACACCAAATACGATCCCCCAGTCATTCCTCCTAGAACGAGGAGGAGGCAACTTTAAAATCTTATGCCCAGATTTGGATTCCTTATGCAAAACCAAGTAAAAAAAATGGAGCTATAACCGGAAAAAAAACCCTATACCATATTCTTATACCCTAGGAAAATTATAGAAACGGTTTTATCTTAAGAAATACACTTTCAAATGAAAAACTGAAAAATATGTGTTCAATATTTTTCAAAAATCTATCAAATGACAACATGACCCTCCTTGGGATTGCGGACGGGTGCAACTTTGAAATCTTTAATAGGAGCCCCTTTAACGTTATGGATGTGACACATGGGTGATGGCATAAGACACAAAACGAAAGCTGGAAGTTTTCGAAAGAAAAGTCTTAATGAAGATATTTGGACCTAATAAAGAAAATGGAGTATGGAAATCCAGGTATAAACATGAACTCTACCAACTGTTCAGTGGCACCGATCTCAGAATTCCTTAAACTTCAAAGACTTCGATGTGCTGATAATGTAGATAGAATGGAGAACGAGATATTGTCAAAAAGAACCCCCGATAGTAAAATGCAGGGCGCAAGACCAAAAGGAAGGCTACGGAAAAGGTGAGAGGATGAAGTCGTATCGGACAAGCAAAATTTCCAAGACGTGAGATCCTGGAGAAGATCGGCGCAGGACCGGCAAGTTTGGAAGCATAGTTGTGAGGAGATCAAGGTTCGATTTGAGCTGTAGCGCTATTGGAGAGCGAGAGAGAAGAATAGGAACCCCCATTTTTATTTCAGATTGTGATTTTACCAAACATTCTTAAAAAACTGTTTTTAGTACCATAAAAATTAGTTTGCAGACTTTTGATCTGTATATGATTTTCTGTGATTACAGCGCCATCTATCGCAAATCGGAAAATAATTCAGATAAAACTTGTTTACTTTTTCACGTAGAATCCTAATCTGCTTTAAAAAATGTAGTTTTTCATTTAAGATTTTAAAGTTGTCCTCCAACCCATCCCCAGGGGACAGGAGCGTAAGGTCGTGTTTATTGCTATTCGATATATTTTTGAAAAATATTAAAAACACGTTTTTTTAGTTTTTCATTTGAAAGTGTATTTCTCTAGATATTAGACTGTTTCTATAATTTTTCTACGGTATCACGATAAATCGTTTTTTACAATTGTAGCTCCCTTTATTAACAATTCGATTATTATATTATATAATTTTTTATAGGGAATCCAAATCTGCAATAAAAAATGGGGATTCCTATTTAAGATTTTAAAGTTGCTCCTCGTGCTCTGGGGGTGTGTTTGGGGGTAGTGTTTGGTGTCATTCGTTATATTTTTAAAAAACTATTAAAGACCCGTTTTTCAGTGTTCGATTAAATGTTCGCTTCACGAAATATTCAACCGCGCGCATACCCTGTATATAAATATTGTATCATATTTCATTTGCCTTTAATAGAACAAAATCCAACATTCTTACTGAGCATACAATAAAGGAAAATAAATCATTTACTTTTCATCTCACCCAGTACAAAAACTACCATTTTATATACACGGACGCATCTAAGACCATAAATGGAGTAGGAGCGTGCTTTGTGATATCACATGAACATTCCATCTATAAATTGTCTCCTAAGACAAGTATTTTACAGCAGAACTATTTGGCATCAATAGGGCCCAAACCTTTATTCTAGAAAAATACTTCCCAAATCTCTTATATCTGATTCATTTAGTTGTCTCACATCAATTTCTCAGTTTTATCCCTCTCATCCAACATTACAGCAGATTAAGTTAATTTTATACCGTATATACCAAAACAATTTGACAGTAGAGTTCATCTGGGTACCTTCACACGTTGGAATAGATGGTAACGAAAAGGCAGATAGTCTAGCTAGGTCCGCAGTATAATGGAATAGAAGCACCACTAACTTGATAGAAATGAAATATTCCATCCTTCCATGGAACTTCGCGCCTTCAAAGCGACAACATCAAGCCCTAATAACACGTCTCAGATTAGGACGCACTTCTACACCACATGAATACTTATTGAAGAGAGAAGAGGAACCAGTGTGTTTTGTTTGTGAATGTAAAGGGACAGTGAAGCACATTTTGATTGACTGTCGAATATACTCAGTTGAAAGACTACATTCCAAAAACATTAAAAAAACTTCTAGAAGAATCTAAATACGTAGCTGAGTTGATAGAATTCTTTAAATCTATAAACTTTTTTAATAAAATATAATACAATACATCAATAATTAAAATATATATTGTATACATTATTATGTAATTGATATTTTGCTTATGCCGTTGTATGTCTTTATCACTTTTTGTACTTTTCAAATTTGAATTAAATTTTAAAGTCACTGTTTGAGGTCCACTGATCATCGCTTAATTACTCATGGGTCTCCATATATGGTTTTACCTTTAGTCAAATTTCCTTCAATAAAAAAATGGAGACTACGTGTGATCCAAAGATCTCATACCATACATTTATTTCTGGGGAAATTATGTCCGTACAAGGTTCATTCATTTCAATAGTTTCATAAATTGCAATTGTCAAGAAAATGCAAAACGTACCCCGGCAATTTACAAACCCGAATAATAATTTTTGACGATAAACAGATAACACTATTTTTAATCAAGGACATATTGATTTACGAACGGAACGACAAAATTCAGCGGTATGAAAATCGGTTCGGATTAACCAGTAAATTGTGTGGTAAAATGTGTGTTAGACATGCCATACCTTTAATGTTATATGTAATAATGTATAATATTGTAATGCTTGGCTGTTGCCAATATCCCAGTTGAAAGCAGAATATTCAATACAATTTTAAACCTTATACGATAATTTCCTTGGGGTTTATCTGCTGTATATCTATTTTATGCAGAATTATTAACCATCTTTTGATATATCTGTTTTGTTTGTTCTAGGTCAGGACAAAAGCGAACGGTAATAAAAAGAAAACCAAGAAGGATAAGGTAAAGCCCGTCGTCAGTATGGAACTATCGTCCGAGAGTTCCGATTTTACTGAGGGCATTAAAAAATCGGATGGGACTGGAAAGTTGGGAGGGAAGGACAAGACACCACAGAAGGAGAATATCACAACTGTTCGTAGTACTACCACGGACACCGAAACTACCAAAGTTGTCACCACAACTACAAGCTTAAATAGGTATTTTAACACACTACGAATATTGCTCTTAATTTGTAGAGGAGTATCCATTATCAGCTGCCTATGCATTTGTTCATATTTCAGTGTCACATGTCAGTACATATTTTTTGACAAGAATTCTCAAAAAGACCCGTTGTTTTAGATTTGCTTTTGTACTGAACTAAAATATAATTCGACTATTTATTCCCGCAATATTGAAGATCGAGAAAAAAATTTAGCTGCCATCTCGCGGTTTTACGTGAAATGAAGTAACTATCTTTTATTTCATCTACTTTAGTACATATTATTTTCGGTTTTTTGGTGCCATCGTCTTGAACTTGTCCATTATGGTGCGTCGACGAAATCAATGTAACAGTTTTACCGTTTTTTTGGTACGTATGATAGTAAAGTTAAATTATTTGTCTTCTTCCGCTTTATAAGCAATTCTGCTTGTTCTTTGACGGACTGGTCCTTCAATGGAAGGTTGTCACTGCATCTTTTGCGTGGTCGTCCGATGTTATTTGTAAACACAAAAATAGTGCTGTTCACTTCTCTATTTTTGGAGCTGACGAATTCTGGCGGTAGAACCTCTTGTTTTTCCGGATGGTTCCAACAACTATAAAATTTTTTTGCTGTAAATCTTGAACTAAGTCTACTGAAGTAAACCAATTATCCACGGTTAAGTTACGGCCAGATCGCATAATTGGTTCCACCAACCGTTTGACAGCACTAGCGGCATTATTACCTAGCAGAAATGGGCCCCCAGGTTGCTTCCTGCATACATTTCCATTTTTAGAGTGTATTAAGTATGAGAATCTGCAAGCCAGAAAATTTTAATTCCATATCGCGAAGGTTTACTCTTTATATATTGACGGAAACTAAAAAAGCTTCCAACATTTCGTCGATCGTAGTTTCCGGTCTTATTGTATAATTTTTTTTGGCTTCTGTTTACAATTCTTTCAAAGAAAGTTCTAGTGGTTGCTAATTTGTCAGACCGTTTCCCAATTTTATTATTGAATCTTATGCAACGCTTAATGAACTGGAACCTGGACAACGACATTACGCACCGAAAATATTCTATACCACTACCATCAGTAGCCCATAAATTCGAATGATTTAGGTGAAAAGCTCGTAAAACACCGGCTAAATATAGTAGTCCTAAGAATGCTTTCATTTCAATGACATCAGTTATTTTGACATCCCGTTCTCGTATAAAGTTGGCTTAAGACTAGCTCCCCTACAGCGTCATTGGACAAAAATAATTTCCACGAAGCTAGTGGATTTGTCGTGAACTTTGCAGTGTTTGCAGGACCTTAATCTTAATCTCTTCAACTTTAAATAATAAGACTCGTGGAGAAATAAATAATTTGCTGGGCAATTGAGGAAAGGAGTAAACAAATTCGACCTTGGCGGCAAAACGACCGGGGAGGCGAGTCAGCGAGAAAATTTTCGGTCTTTAAGTGGACGCTCACAACGAGGCGCCGACCCTCGCTCCGACCATAGAATCGTACCATATTATCGATCGCCAGGTAAAGTAAATGCATTATTTTAAATGCGAGCGTTTACTGTCAGTGCTATGTTCTAGGCGAGGATACGATGCGATGGTCTTCGTTATGAACGTACCCTAAGACTTGTTTTCAGTTTAGGAACGACATAATAATCGGACGGAGCCAGATTTGTTGTTGAATAAGAGAGGTTTTCGAGTAATTATAAATCTAAATTACGAATTGTTTACATGGATTCAGGTGATTTGTGCATTGTATTGCAAAAATTCGTATGGACAACTTTCCATGACTGCCCTGCATATTTTTTTTTCTCGTAGAGTGGTTAGCAAAGTCGAATAGTAATCCCCAGTTCTATACTCATCCAGAAAATCAATCATTCCAATCTCCTTGCAAATCGCAAAAAACTGAAGCAAGAACGTTTCTAGCATATTTTGAATACGATATTTCTTCGGTCTTAGAGAACCAGAGGGTCCACATTTCATCGATTACTGCTTTGTTTCGGTTTGGTAAAAGTCGAACGCGATAATTTTATCTTTGCAAGCTTCTGGTGTCAACATTTAGACATTTGGGGATCCATTTTACAGACATTTTTCTCATGTCCAAATCGATGTGAACCATGTGATGGACACCAATTCGAGGGTCTGATAAAATCTTATCATGAACTTCATCGAGATTTACAGAGGTGGAGACAGAAACTGGACTTCCCAATTGGTCTTCATTTTCAATGGAACATTTACCTCTTTTGAAGCTTGCAATCCAATTTTTTCACTGTCGTATACGAAGAACATTAACCTCCAAACTGTATTAAGCGTTTATTCTTAAATATTAACAATTAACCTTTTTAAATGCAGGCACTTGATGATGACTGGATACTAAAATTTTTCAAATATCACAATTTTGGTCCTTGTTTTTCAAATTTATTGCTTTATTTATTGGTTTGAATTTTTGACCTGAAACTTTACACAGATTACTAAAAAATTGTTTCATTAATATGATAGCGGAATATTTTGTTTACCCCCAAAACCATTCTAGGTTTTTGCATATCAATCATTATTCGTTATAATAATTGATATTAATTATAAATAATAAATAACATTGCTTATGGACTGATTACATCTTCTTTCTTCTTTCTTTTGTTTGTTTCTTTCTTCTTGTTCCATTTATATTAATTTTTTTTATTTTATATCAGGTATACCTTTATGAAAATTATGGATGAGAACAATTCAATAAAAGAAGACAAGAAGATAAGAACACACAGCTGCAGTAGTATTCCATATGATAACATTATAGAAAACTTGGCGCCGTTCAGGAAAAGGTTCTGCAATATACAGTTGTTCAGAAAAGATGAGGAAGAAAAGGAGGAAAAAGAAAAAGAAGATGAACCTGGTAAGTTGTTTTTTTTTACATAGTACCTAATTCTTGGAGCAATCTTAGACAGAATTCATGATCGAAATTATTTTTTGTTAATTATATTGATTATATAACAACAGAAATGTTTAGTACATATAACAATTAATCATATGAAATAAAACATGTGTTTACACTTTATTATTTTAAATCTTTAACCATTATTTGAGTATATGTTTTATAAGATCCCGTTCATTCTCGTTTGGAAAGTCGTTAGATTATTTTTCTGTGAATTCTCCAATCGTTGTTGTTCCATTGTACACTTTGGATACACATTTTCGCATGTGTAACTTCAAGACCGTCAAGATGTACCGTCGTTATTCTGTTAACTTCCTTTTGTTTCGTTTCTGTTACAATGTTTTTTTCTATTATTCCTACTTGATCTTTCACCTTACTTTCAAATATGTTCTATTTTATTTTTATTATCATCCTTATCCTATTCTTTCTTCTAACCTGTCTTTCTCTGTATTAATCTTTATTACTATTCCCACGTAAGTCTCGTTTACCTCGCACTTTTACTTTAGCTTTTTCAAGTCCTTGTCAAGATCTTTCAACTCTTGTATCCTGTCTAGGCTAAGGTACTCCCCATCTTCAGCATTCTTCCCATCTACCAAGCACCCTTCTTCTTCTTTCAACTTCTTCCCATCCTACGTCCTACAAGTAACAACAATTTTGAGGTCCTAGAAGGAATTTATTCCTATTTTGTGTATGATCGCAACCCCTAAGCAAGGATCCGGACCAATTAATGGCGCACAAGCGCCTTCTTGGTTCCAGTTTAACAGCCATTTCATTGCCTACGTAGCTTTTGTGCCCTGGAACCCAGACTAGCGTCAGTCTATTCTGACTTCCAATATGGGAAAGAGTACCTAAGCAGGCAACACAAGTTTTGAACCGAGCTGCATAGAACTGAATGCATTTAGAGCCGCTTGACTATCGGAGGACATCACGATTGAGTCATTCTCCACTTGCCGAAATATTAATTCCATAGCATAACACCTTTGTATAGCGGTAAGTTCTGCCTGAAATACTGTGACATTATGTTTTCACGGTTCTCATGACTCCCGTGACACTCAAGCAAGCAACCCTTTGTGTGCCAATAAGCAACCGAATCATTCCTAAAGGTTGCGTCTTATGTATAACTGCCTTTTTTCTGGTCAAGGTAACAACTGCTGTTTTTGCGGGTTAACGCTTAGCCCTTCAGCTTTTCTTATCCAGCGATTTACGTTCGTTCTGAGACTATTTTGGCAAATCGTCCTTTGACTATTAATTAGTGCCAGGTAATCCACACAGCCCAGGTAGCAAAACCCATCTTTGGACAGTTTTGCTAAGAGGATACACCTCCTTGTGGGCAACCACTTCCTATCTTCACTCGGCAATGGCTTCGCCTAACGAGAACACGATGGCCTATTTGTTAAGGCTACCTTCGTCCACTCACATATGTGGAAGGGATACCTCTTCTTTTTAGCGCTTCTGTCACGGATTCGAGTCGAAGAAGACGTCGCTACCACATTTCTTTGTCCTCAAAAGATCAGTCTACTGATATCATCAAGCGCCAAGTCTGTTGATTTTACTGGCTGATATGTAGTGTCGCCGTGTTGATCCATTACCCTACCTAGTTTTGGTATATTGTAATTTTCACCTTTGGCCATGCCATTGGTAAATGTCTCCACGCCAAACTAGCTTTGAAGATTTTATATAGATGTGATAAATCATCCTGTCCCTACTGAAGACGAACTGGATATATTCCTTTTATTTCGGCGACTTGTAGGGTTGAAATGCGTTTATAGCCCACCTAACTCATTGAGGCCTCTTAATGTCGGTCGCCAGCTGTGTCCGCGACAGAAGGCCTTCTTGAATGAACTGGCTTTACCGAAGAGTTAATGTTTGTAGATGAGCTGGGAAAATGCGCCTTGGTGAGCATAAATAAGCTTTCTTCATCGTTGATGTAAAGTTTCGTGTCCCTTTTTAGGAAACCAACCTGTACCAGGTCTGTACTATCTATGGAGTCACTGTACCATCTTTCGCCAAGACTTCACGAATTCTGGGGCATGCGGGATTCTCTTCAATTTCCTCGCAGAAGCTTCTCCACAAGTCCCTTTTGGCTTTACTGGTTTCTTTATTGTACTGCGTTAGTAATGAGGCCAGTAGTAGAGAGGATGGTTATTGGTATCAGTTGATACTTTTTCTTGTACGCTGTCGCATTGGTGATCTTTCCGTTATATTGACCAGGCAGATTGTTTTTAGTTATCGCCACACCAAAATGTGTTGTTTGTCTAATTAGTTTATTAGCTAGTATGAGATGTCTATTATGTGGGTCTGTGACCACAGTGAGGTCTTGTAATGTATTCTCCAGCATACTATCAGTGGCATAGATAATAAGGAAGGTAATTGGTTTGGAGAAGTTACAGTTTTTTAGTTATCTGTTGATGGAGAATCTTTCCTACTAAGTCATACCGTTCCTTATATTCAATTCAACAAATGCCTGGTAGTTCCCGGTAAGATGTTGGACGGCTTCTTGAGCTTGTGCCATTTGAACTATTATTATTTTATTATTTATGTTACTGTTGTATTTCTGTTCTCCATTTCACGTTGTAGATGAGATCACCATATTTATATATCCAAAAAATATCATTTGTATATCTTGGTTAACTTTTATTTCCCTTTATGTGATATTTACCTACTTGTCGCTCTATTTTAGATGTTCGAAAGAAAGGGAAGTTCAAACGTAGGTGGTGGTCAAAAGATCGACTACTTAATAAAACTAAATTTTCAGGTATTAATATTTATCTTATTTAAATTTCTTTGCCAATTTAAGCATGGTCTTTATTTAGAGATGTATTTTCGTTTTACAGATATTTTTATACTACAACTTGTATCCACACTGTTCATAAAAACGCTTTAAACAAAATTGTGCAGTTTATTTATTTTTATACTTATTTTCGGCTTCAATTTTGCTACAATTTCCAATGTTCAGCTTCAAAGTATATTCATTTCTTGCCTAAAATTTATTTTCGAAACAACTATTTAAATAAATATTTGAGTATATTTCCGCATTTTTTAATTTATTGCGCATTGCTGAGTTTAAATAGCTTATTGAGCAGTGATGTTAGCTCTAGCGACTGGCCACTTTTACTTAATGGGGTAGTAGGGAAATAAATGATCAATTTGCAGGGAGTAGTGAAAAGGTCTAGGCCTTGTCCATAGATGGCTTTGCTACAAATGAAATTACTGTTTAGTTATGTTGGCACGCTTGGTTGCAAAAGTTTTTATCAAATATTAATTTGCTCAGATCAATTTAATCAGTTTGATTTATGTATTGTTAAAAGTGAATCTTTTATTTATTTATGACAAAATTTAATTTAAATACTGTTCTGTTAAATAATTCCAAATTCCCCTTCATCCAAATTTGGTAAACATGGTTAAGAAGCTGGACTTTGTTTATCAATTAACTAAATTAAATTAAATTAACTAAATGTCCCTTGTACCTAACCAAATATCCCTTTTGCCAAACTAATAATTTATATTTCTTCCCTCTCATCTTATGTCCCCAGAATTGAAGTTTCGTCATTTTAATAGTTGTCATAAACTCGTACTTCTTTCTTATTTCTCTTTCTCTTATTACCTCGATCTAAGTGAATTTTCATTCAATGGATTCTAAGCTTAGACTCATGATTCAGTAACTTACTTTTCATTAAGTCTTTGTATGCATAAAAGCACTTATTACTAAGAATCTGCTGAGAATCCGTGCTTGTATTTCTTGACTGACGCCGTTGCTAATATTTATTATTGGGTAGGTAGAAAAAGGTGGAGGCATGTTAGAAGGTATGGTTGTCTACCTTCAAATTCTCATGTCCATTCGACCTTGTGCACTCCATATATTTTGTTTTCCTTTCATTTATATTTAGACCAAATGCAGCGGCTTCCGTTTCAAATCTGTAGCTTTTTCACTTAAATCATTTAACTCCTAGCTGAACGCTTTCAGCTTGCAAAGATGCTCAGAGCTATGGTCAAATTAAAAAAAAAAAACCAATATGAGAGAGGAATCCCATCGTTCAAAAAAATTCTTCATCAAATTTAAAAAAGTTAACCTCACTTTAAATATCTATTATAAAGAAAATTCGTCAATTTTTAAGCAGCAAAAATAGACCAATCGATGTGCCAAATCAATTGTTAATTGCTTTTCGTTTTTACGGTACTGGATCATTTCAAGTAATATGTACTGGTGTTCACTTTAATGTTTGGAAGGCAGCAGTCTGCCGCATTGTAAGCAAATAGTATTATTGATACATTGTTCTATTACGTCCTCGGTTTATACAAATGCCCTAGAAAGGCAGTGATTTAAATAAGCTGCAAAATAATTTGTACCAGATTTCAAAATTTCCGAGGGTCTTTGGAATTTCAATTAAATTTCTCAACTATTGAAATCTGATTTTCCTCTCCCTCCTCTTAAATATTTGTGCTTCTTTCACGTTTTCTGTCAATTGTTAGTATTTGAAAAAAGATCAACCAATAACAAAGATTACAGGTTATGGATATGATTACAGTGGTAAATAAATATAATGCGCTTGCGCCAACGAGTACGCCTGGTGGAAAAATCATTACACTATTATAGGACTTATTCGACGAATAATTAACGTTGGCGTACAAATAGGTACCGAAACGCAGTAAAATATTATCGACTAATAAATTTTATACGACCAATAACTCTTCACCGATATATTTGTTGTTGGTGAAACCGACTTTTAATGATATAATGGGCATGGAACGATTGCGCCGAATTTATTTGAGTTTCGTTCAGCTGAGAACACGGTTACCTGAAATGGTCCCAATACCTTGGTGAGATTGCGCCCCTTCCCTGATAACGTAATATCCTAATGTCTTCCTTGTGTGACACTACTATGTCTGTATAAATGCATTCATATACGAAATAGTTTAGGTATATAATTAAAAATTGAACTAAAATTTAAGAATTTATTTCA